GTCCGTAATTTGTTCGCGGTCGGGGGATGTGCCAGTGTTCAGAACTCCGCATCGGACGCAACAAAATTTTCGGCTGTAAATGTGCTAAGCCTCTCAGGTTTGCGGAATTCTTTCGAATTTCAGACCTCAAAGACAACAACAAGTTATGTTCATATGCAACACAAAATTTTAAAACTTTAAACTTGACAAATAAATGGGATGTGTGTTCTCTGTAACCTATATTTGCAACAGCCCGCAAAGCGCTTTTTTGAAGTGTATACAACTTTTGTTTTGATGTCTCAGTTCCAGAAGCCCATACCAACTGACAATAGCGTAGATGAGAACAAAAAAGCGTATTGAAGGTAAGAAGTTTCTGGGGGAGCGGTAGAAATGACTGACACCTTCTCAGCACGCCAAGGGCTTTTCTTAGCTTAATACACAATTGTTCAGTGTGAGAATTCCAGAACATATGTTGATGAAAGATGACGCCCAAAGTTTTGAAAGATGACGCCCAATGGCACGTATCAAGAACTAACTCGAATCATAGCACCTGCCACCTCAACAACGTTCCTTTAGATTCCGTCTTGTCTTATAAATATCTTGGCGTGCACATCACAAATAACTTAAGTTGGACAACTCATGTAGAGTACGTGATTAACAATGCTAATCGCATGATTGGCTACTTACGACGTAACTTCTCCAATGCACCCTCTTCCTTGAAACTAGTACTCTATAAGTCTCTCATACGCCCCAAACTCAAATATTCTCCGCCATATGGGATCTCAGTCATACTAATCTCATCACCTGTCTCGAACTAGTACAAAAGAACTCTGCTAGGTTTAGCCTCTCTAACTACAACCGCACTGCAAGTATGACATCAATGAAAAATAATTGATCACTTATTCCATTGGCTCACCGACGAAAAATCGCCCGTCTTTCACTGTTTCATAAAATTTTCTATCACCCTACACTTCATAATGACCTGATACTCCAGCCTCTGTACCTCTCGAACCGCGTTGATCATCGCAATAAGGTAGGAATCGCATCATGTCACACTAGGTCTTTCTTTCAGTCATTTAATCCCCGCACATGTCATGATCGGACCGCCTTCCCTCAAATGTCGCAACCATCACTGACTTCAAACTTTTTCATTAATCATTAGCTAACATTGTCTACCGAGAAAATCTGCTACCTATGCTTATTGCTTCTGTTTTTGTATATTTGAAAATAACTATTTTCATACATTCTGCAGAAATGTTAACATTATCTGTCTTTTATTGTAGTGTTTTATTTGTATTTATTTACTGTTTTATTTCTATTCATTGCACTGTTTTATTTATATTTTTAATGTATTTACCCACTCCTCTCTTTAATACCTTTTTGGCCATGAGAGACTTATAAATAAATAAATAAATAAATAAATAAATAAATAAATAAATGCTTGTGTTGTGTTGAAGAAGCAGCTGCATGATGTTTTAGAGCACAAGTAATGACGACGGCGTAATTTGCTTGCGAACTATCGGCACGGTAAACATTCGGTTCTGTGCCGCTGCGACGGCGTGCTATTCGCTAGTGGCGTACTACTGCGGCAAATCCGCCAGACAGCCTCGGAACTAATGATCTCGGAGTGCCATTCTATTGCCACGTACATGATTACGCAACGCATCGTCGATACAAGTCGATCAGCTGGCACCACCACCCTGTGCACTGCGGCGAGGAATGTGGTATAGCGAACATTCAGCTGTTCATATCGGTTGGGAAAGTTCTTTGGTTTGATATACGTTCATTGGACGATTAAGAGTTAATCCGGTGAAAACGGCACGGAGAGTACGTTTGTGCGTCCTATCTTTTGTTATGCGAGTTCACAGGTTGATCATCCTTCCGCCGCCTTCTTGGATTTCGCGGCCGTTACCATTGCGTTACCATTGCGAATACTTGGCAAAGCTTCTGCTTGAAGCTAGGCCAGTCGGTGCGCTCAATCTCATGGTTAAGGAACAATGTCCCGCCTTCCCTAGTGAGATAGGTGGTGTGGTGAGAGAGCTTGTGAGGATAGTTCTCTTAGATAATTCGCTCTTACTCACAGGTAGTTGTCAAGCTAGTCTTCCCCAATTTTGCGCAGAGACTAGGGAACAGTGGGGGGTCTGCTCTTGGTTAATGACATAAAGATGCGAGAGTGGCGGCGAGCGGATGGGATTGGAATAGGCTTTGGCCCACTCGTCATTCGATATATCGGAGAACAGTGGGTGCAAGTGGTGGCCGGAATGGCACTCCTGCGAGTAGGCTGGTCAATGAGAGGACTGGCAAACGTAAATTCACCTTCACCACACATAACGCGTCGACCTTAACTACATAGATTTAGCCGCTAACTGGGAAGCAACGAGAGCCATGCACCCTGCCACGAATTACCCATACTCGCACGAAGACGATGATTATCAGTGAAGCAGGCGACGATTACTAACTTTTGTGAATAATTGATGGACCTCCAAGCTTCGCCTTCAACGGTCGGACGTGACAGCGACATCTTTTTTTTTTAGTCCGAACTTCAAAGAACCAGTGTACAATTTTCATTTCACGATGGTAAAAAAATTAATATGAAAAACTTGAAAACACATCATTCTTCTGTATAGCATCCATTCACTTCAACACACCTTCTACAACATTTCATCGGCTTGTGTGGCGATATAACTTATATGGACACTTTAGGCAAAGAGTGATTTCAGCAGCCAAAGTTAAAAAAATAGGGACAATTAAGGCGTAATTGTGTTGTCGTCGTCCTGCTCTGTATACAGGACGAATGGATGACATCGTCCGATACCTCGTACAATACCTCTTACGTCCGATACCTCATCCGATGCCTCATAACCACTGTATTAGTACAAAACTGTGCATGTGCTGGGGATGGGTGTGGCTGAACTAGAGACGAAGTCAGTCAAATCTCTGAGTCATACAAATGACGCTAATGCTAATAGCACCCTACATGCCAAGTATGGCGTCTATGACTCGTTAAGCATAGTGGAAACGCTCCGCGAAGGGCCGTAGTGAGGCGCCTGCGGGGTAAAGTGCGCGGCACATCGCTCGAGCAGCACCAGAAAACTTCGCCCTTGAGTTCGTGGTTTCAAGCCCAGACGCGCGCTGTATCTACAAGCATTACGAAAAGGCTCGCCATTTTGCTATTTTCACGCTTGCTTCGTGTGCACAGGACTGATTGCGAGCGCTGGCACACACTGTCTTGACAAAGATGGCTCACCGGGATTTCAACGCTTGCATCTTGTGCAAAAAAAATGATAAAACAAAAATCTTTTTGATTGCATGGCAACCTTCAGCAAGCGTTGGTAGACATTCGATGCAAAAGAGTAAACTTCGAGGCTTACTTCATATAACATTCGATTATGATGTCGTCACATTTAATGTTTAACCGTTTTGTCAAAAACAAAGAATTTGTTTATTCAGTCGGAAAGTAGATTTCTGTTTGCTCCTGTAAAAGATTTTGACCAGCATCAATGTATGGTGAATCGGTTTCATATCTTCCGCCGAGGGGTTCCTTCAATGGTCTAATGATGCACAAACGACGTGCTGCCCCATCAAGAGTGTGTCTTGAGTAATTGAGTGGTCCTAATCCTCTTTAGTTTTTAAAACTTGTTCACCAGAATATTATAGCTTGTTCACCAGAATGTGCTCGAGAATCATCCTGCTGTAAGAAGGTGGTATTCGCAGCTTTCTGCGACGTTTCGATGTAAATGTATATTTCAGATTACTAGCTCACAACACGTCATATAGTCCCCACTGCTCACGTTTAGGCCTTTTGGGGTGAAATGAACTCGGCGACAGTTTTTATGTCCCAAGAATGGTAAAAACAATAAAAATAATTGGTGGTGACCACCATAACACCGCCGTGGTGTTCTAGCGCATAAGGTACTCGGCTGCTGACTCACAGGTAGCGGGATTATATCCCGGCGGAGGCGGCTGCTTTTTTGATTGAGGCGAAAACGCTGTAGGCCTGTTTGCTCAGATTGGTGCACGTTGAAAAACCCCAGGTGGCTGAAATTTCCTCAGCTCTCCACTGCGGCGTATCTCTTAACCATATCATTGTTTAGGACGTTAAACCCCTGATATCAATTATCGTGACCGCCATAGTTTCTGAACTTCCGGTAGTGCTCAGTGTTTCAAACTTGTGCTGGCAGCCTCACTTGCCGGTTCGTGAGCATTTACTGCAACAAACGTTTTCTCTGCAAGTTTTACGCGTTAGAATGCCCAACCACATTCCTACTTTTGATATATGTTCAGACATCTCCCCTTAACCTATGTGCCATAGGTTGATGAGAGATGTTCAACATATTTTTTTTTTCGGAATCAGCTTGCACAACCTTGCAAACATTTAGCTCATCGTGTAAAATATAATAGTCTGAAGCATAGCTGATGTGCATACTACTGGCGATTACTTGCATATTTTCTTTCCCACCATGGTGGTCTAGTGGCTAAGGTAGTGGATCAAATCGACCCGCCGGTCGTGGCCCGCAGGTCGTGAGATGACTCGCAGGTCGTGGGATGACTCGCAGGTCGTGGGATCAAATCCCGGCTGCGGCGGCCGCATTTGCGATGGAAGTGGAAATGTTGTAGGCCCGTGTACTCAAATTTGCGTACACGTTAAAGAACCCCAGGTGGTTAAAATTTCTGGAGCCCTCCACTGCGGCGTCTCTCATAATCAAATAGTGATTTTGGGACGTTAAACCCCACAAATCAATTAATTGCATATTTTCTTTTTTCGTGTAGTTGAATGGGTGCCTTCCACGCTTTTGGAGCTAAAGAATCTTTCTTTAAATTTTTTCACAGCTTCATGTAAAGTTTGGTACGTGGCCTCTGTCGTATAGTAAATAAATGGGTTACAAAGGTGTGTTGGGAAATGTTTCTTATGAGGTGATCTAGCTAGAGTCGCTGTGTGCCACAAAAAATTTTAACCCTACTTAGTAGCTTCTGTTTTTGTTTGCTTAATTGAAGCACATGCCATATGATCTCTTTTATAGAGGAACACGCGAGAGTTTACCTGCTGTTGTACTGGTTAGAGTCTGAGAAATGCTTCATATTACTGCACCCAGGTAAGTGTCACATGAAGCTGTTTGTTTTACTATTAAATGATTCTATATTGTAAATCCTTGGTACAGCTCACATTGATCTAATGAAGTACACGACGTAGTGACGGTTTTTCATAATTGTTTTTTGCTCAGCGCATGCATCCAGCCCTTGATTATAGATATGTATCGTAATATTCTCCTGCCTAGTCCTTAATCTCGTACAGAGGAACAATAGTTCATCTGTTTTTTCTTTCAACAACAAAAATGCCGCAGTTTAAACATAATAAATTAACGGAGACACCTTAATAACATGCAGCTTCTACTTCTGTGACATATTAAAAAACATTTTAGAGCGCACTGGGACGACTGAAAAAGGGTATTAATATTCTATGTAAAAGAAAACGATCGGGAACGTGTCATTCACACCGTCAATCTGTTTGAACAGTCATGTTGGAATGGCGACCTGACGGTGGTATAGGGGTTGAGGTCCTCAACTGGTGACTGAAAAGCTGTTGTATCATATGTCGGCTGTGGTGGCAGCATTTTCGAAAATGGCGAAAACGGCTGAGGACTGTGGGCTTATATTTACGTGCACGCTCAAGAACGTGATGTGGCCGAAATTCCTAGACCGATCTATTGTGGCATCCGTCGTACTCTCACCGTCGTTTTGAGGCATTGACCCGCCATAATTGTCATCATGCTGGGATGGCAAATAGCACTTCGATGTCCTAGTAGTAGCAGTACTAGACTTTTATTTCAGCCATAAACTAAAGACCGCGCATCTCTATCTTCATGTGCAACCAGTCGACGCTGTTCTCATCATGAAGCACTTGACCAGTTACTAGACACTCAGAAGAAGGGTCGTTCGCATATATTTCAGCGTCTTTTCTGGATGTAGCCCGTCCCTTTAGCACGTGACAGGCTTTTTCTCATCATTCACTCAGTGTCTTAAAGCGATCGGGAAGCGATTACCTCAGATTTTGTTCCAATGCGGCTGTCATGACAGCCGCATTGGAACAGCGCGACGCTCCTAGTATTATTTCCCGGTTCACGCTCACAGAACACAGAGTGGTCTAGACGTCCTCAAGTATGAACACAGTCAACCGTTCTAATAGCCTGTGTGTTAGGCAAGTGACACTGTATTTGTCTACCACTGCGATCGTACAAAAAATACAAGTGATAAAATTGGCCGCGTATCATTGCAGTTCACTGCAAAGGACGGCGAAAAACGATTGTATTCTGATTGAAGGCACGGCGTGAGGTATCGCCATTTGGCAATATTGTGAAAAAAAAACGATTTTTTTAGAACACAGAAACATTTGTGAGTGACAGTACCGGTTTCATTTTGTTGAAACGCCTGAATTTTTAGCGGACCGTAGGAACCGCCCGCTATTTCGTTCTTAGCGTCGCATTGACAGAGCAGCGTAATAAGTGCTATGATCCTTAAATACCTATGTATGCATTTTCTAAATAAATGTATACACTGACTACTATTTGCGTATATATTGATTGGGGCGTCAAGCATTCGTGATATTTCTTTTTGATTGAGAACGTTCGTACGTATGAATGCAGCCACCAGATCAAGATGAGTTGGCTTTGAGAATCGGGTTAAACCTTCACCGGGTGGCTTGTGACAGGCCGGTAGGAAAATTCTAGGTATCGCAAAAAAGACTATCCTCTTTAAGGCGAAATGAAGTATCACTGTCACTTGCCTGCGCGCGGCCCATGGTCGGATTAGTCCGACGACGTAATTTTGTGGAAGGGAGGCGTTTCGGGAGATTTGCGGTGCTTGCGGTACATTCACGTGACCTCTGAATGCATCATAAGTGGGGCGAGAATGTACCGATCACTGCAACTCTTGTCGGCGTGAGCGCTTTAATACTCCATACGATACTGAAACGGCATCACACTCAATCCACACGTCACCCGAATGCTACCGACCACTTCGTGATAATTTCGAAAATAGTCAAACGTGCTATGCTGCTCACGTAATATTAACTATGTATAATTGAGAAAACACACGAGCGGATGTATTGTAGTCGTTGTGTTGGGCTGAATATGGACAGTTTTGCCCGTAAAAAAGGAAAAATTATACCATAGAAGATTTTGGCGTCTACACTCATTCTGTACAAAAACAAAGCTTTCATTATTGATCAACCAATTCATATTGCTAATCAAATGAGTGGACGGCTTTTACTTCAATAGCTCGTTAACTACTTGTCGACAACTTGCGCAGCAAACAACAAGCACCCTTGAGAACGTTAGGGAATGGTGCAATGAAACCATAGAAAGTATAAAATATATAGCCCTGGTGTAAGCTAACAAAGTCAAGTCTAACGGGGTATGGTAGGGCGAACGTTATTTGTCAGCTTTAGCGTAATATTTTAGAGACGACTGCATGTATTCTTATAAACTTTTACGTGCTTACACAAACTAGAGTGGGTATCAAGTGACATTTTTTTGTTTGCCTACGTTGCTTATTCTTCCTAAGGCTCACTGCCGAATTTTAAAAGCGCTTCACTTAATCAACGTACCTTTTTTCTGCGACTATCTTGAGGGATGTAACAACGATCCGCTGTGTTGTTGTAGGGACTACTAGGTTACATAGGAACAAAAAATGTTAAAATGTCCCGCCACGGTGGTCTAGTGGCTAAGGTTCGAATCCCGGCTGCGGCGGCTGCATTTCCGATGGAAGCGGAAGTGTCGTAGGCCTGTGTGCTCAGATTTTGGTGCACGTTAAAGAACCCCAGGTGGGCGAAATTTCCGGAGCCCTCCACTACGGCATCTCTCATAATCATGTGGTGGATTTGGGAAGTTAAACCCACATATCAAAATAATGATTTTTCATGAAGTTTTTGCAAAAAATAAGTACACTGCTTTCACAACACCACGGAGTGTGCCTACTGTTGTGTATTTTTGTTACAGCTGCACTTTTGATGATATCTGCCATTTTTTTAATTCTGATTATTTCTAGCTTGTTGTAGCTCATGCATACAAAATGTCATCGAAATCGATTCAATACTTTTTGAGAAAAGGTACACAGTTGTTGACAATACACGGAAAAGAATATTTGAGAAAAAGGACTTTTTACGTGCGCATACTGCTTAAGCCAGAGGGCGCGTGGCGCACTTCAGCGCGGCATTCAAACCACTTGCAGTGGCCGCTTGACGTCAGGCTTCGACAGGTTTGTCCCTTAGAGTACAGTCAATATTTAAGAGCCAAATTGTAAACTAGTTCTTTTTTTTGGGGGGGGGGGGGGTTCATTGTGTTATACCGCCGTAATTTCGTCATCTTTTTTTTCGCAGATGGCGAATGTGAACAATACACCTGGGAGTCAATGACATCGGGCAGGCACGAGTGTAACAAAGTTTTTTATGACACATGTGGTGCTTGGCACTACCCGGTTTTCAAGCCAAGCTGCCTTGATCCAAAAGCACTCTGTATTAAGTTCAATAGCCTGTGCTGATGCAGGCCCGTGAGAGGAAATAAATTTGGAGCTTTGATACTTCTAGAGAAGCAATCTATGACCATGTCTAAAATACACCAACTCACGAATTTACCACACAATCATGGCCCTAAACTTGTCCGACTTTTTTCATTCTTTTTATTTGTTGCTTTTTAGAAGCTCGGACTGTTGTTTTGTTTCTGATGTCGTAGGCTGGTGTTAGGCAGGCAGAATACAAGCTCAGAGAAAGAAAAGGATAGATCTTTGCATAGCAGTGTAGAGTATAGCATCGCATGTGGTGGGAAAGTGTGGTAAACATAAATATGAATTATTTGAAATTCAGAAAGATTAAAGAACAATAGTATACGGAAAAAAGCATAGCATAACCTTGCATTGTATAGCTTTACTAACAATGAAAATTGAAAATCAGAGTTGACAGGAGTGATGCGAGAATAAAAATCACAAAAGAAATTGGAACTCACTCAGGCTTAGTCAAAAAACCTATTTTAACGCGATACCATGAAAGAGCTGCTTTCGCGAAAATTGCTGCTTCGGCGGTTGTGAGCGAAACTTAGTCATAATATGCGGGATGAAAAATCTAGGACGATGCAAATAAAATAAATAAATGAGGATAAATATCTGGAGCAGTGTGGGAAGCGAACCAGGCGTGCTTGGGTTCAAGTGCGGATCAAACCCGGGTCTTTTGTGAGGCAAGTGGAGGTTCAACCAACGGTCATGTCTCTGCTTGTGAAAACAGTGAAAAGAACTTCCTCTTCTTGGAAATTCATTGAAAGCAGCTATCAAACCTCACAAACTCACACGTCGATTATACATGCTTCACAATGCAACCCGAAATGTTGCAGTAATAATACGTGGTACAAGCTTACATTGCCAACGGATGTCAGAATATGTGATTATCATAATGGCTCTGTGGTTGAAAGCCGGCACGCCACTACAAAAGGCACACACGCTTCTGTGCCGATTCCCATAAGGCCACGTAAGGGTGCGTAGCAAAATCGAAAAGGTTTCAAGCACCAAGTCTCTCAAGTATGCACTGAGAACACGATGTCGCTATCGCGTTCAACTCCTGGAGGCGAAGTTTTAGGATCCCCAATTTTTTTCTTTTTGCACAGGCATCGCTCAGACTCAGACGTTGTTCTAAACTTACTCTCTCAGACTACAACGGACTAAGTAATACAGCCAAATATGTGTTTGGGTAGAAGAAACAAAAAATTTTCGGCAGCGGTGTCTCGAGCGGTATTCATTGGTTGTGCTATCATCCACGTCATCCTCAGCGTCGTACCCCAGCAAGCGTGCTGTGGGCTGCATTGTGAGTGACGTCATTCATGCCATTGCAACCGTGGCACCGAGCACGTGTGCATCAGTTTCGACATTTCACATTAATAGGCCAGGGACAACTCCATAAATGAGCCGAGAATGGTAACGTGCCGTAGTCCTGGCGAAAAAGCGCCGCCATATCCACGAAGTGAATGATGATGAGGGGGCGAAGCTCAGGAGGTAAACCTGGTACACTATGAATCCTCCGTACATTTTGTCCTCTCGATTTCATTGCTACGCTCGCCCTAACGTACGTCACCGCACTAAATCGAACAATTGACTTCCATCAGTGACACGTGCCATATGTGAAATCATTAATCATTCGTATTTTATAACATCTCGCATCTTTCATCATCAACTACAAGTACCACCGTCTACTTTAAAACATCTTGCATCTTCTCATCTTCTAATGCAAGTACCGCCATCTAGTGAGCACTGCAAAAACTAAACGACAGGTGGTTACATACATGGGATGGTACCACGATTAAGTGAACACTGCAAGAACTAAACGAGAGGTGGCTACATACAGGGGATGCACAGCTCACGCCTTGAGAAGCTTCACCCCTAAAACAAGCCCGCGAGTCCGAGTACCGGCATCAACTGCGTACCGATAATACGGCAGCCTTGCGAACAGCGCTAAATTGAGAACGCGAATGCGAGCGACGGTGGCAGGCGGATCCTTGAAACCACATCATCAAGATAACTCGCGATGTCAGACACTTGCAACTATGCCACGCTGAGTAAGCGCCCTTGCAGCAGGGTTGCCACTGGTAGCTACGTTTTGCCAAATTGTCAAATTTGAGAGATCCTTGGCGACCTGAAGTCACGAATGTCGGCATGCCGAATCATCAGTGATTTTCAGCTTAGGTCTCGACCGATTTAAGCATACTTTACCCAATGTCTTCGAAATGCATGCGGAACAAGCATTTTATAGTTTTCGTTGCTTGAGACTCACCAGTAGAAGGCACACTTTGCGTGTATTGAGAACGTATGTCTTGTTTCTTTGGTGTATAGCTCCTCAATTTATCTAGATACTCCGAGGCACTGAATCTCTGGCGCATGCCCTGGCAACCTCCCGGCAAAGTTTACATCGGTGAACCGCTTTGCCTTCCGCGAAGTGGGGCTAGTGTACAAAGTCTTTAGACAAAATCAAGGCTTCGACGTATGCTCATCTGGTGGGGACAAATCATTGATTAAAAAAGCAAAAACGCCGAACACAACAGAATAAAGACGTATTGACCTTTGAGCACTAAGGACGGGAGCTTCGTTCACAAGATCCTTGTGAGGAGGCTCCCGTTCTGGGTGCTGAAACGTCAGTATATCTTCATTTTGTTGTAGTCGGCATTTTTGCCTTTTTATTCACGAAGCTTTTGTGTGCTTCAAAAGCTTTAGGCTTCTTTAAAGTTCTCTTCGAAAGTAGTTAGGTGATAGACTGCGTGTTTGCACCACAGCACAGCACCATCTGATGCTGATGCTGAAGACCTCTGATGGATGGCGCTTAGCCACAAAGGGGGATGGGCCAAGAACCGGGCGGCAGGATACTTAAATGAAACTAAAATGAAATTGAAGCCAATCTGAAAAAGTAGCTAAAAATAATACTACCAAAAACAAAAATGTTTGCTGAGCAAGCGGTCAAACCATCTTTTGTTTTGGAAAGACATAACTACGAATTATAAACTAAAGATCTGAAAAGGTAGGGGTTCACTAGCATGGTAATCTTTTATTTGCGTTGATGTAATCAAACACAGCGGAGCATACATCCCCGTGGCAGTAACCAAATGAAGTTCCGCCAAGTGATAAAATTACTGTTAGATTTACTTGTATTTCTAGCTTTTGTAAGGTGCTACTAAAAATCTTTTTCTCGGATAAGAATAACGACGACAGAATAAAAGAAATGTTCAATTGTTTCAATTTTGTTTCACCAAATGCATAGCGGTGACGCCTTGAGCCGAGCTTTGTTAAGGTAATAATTTAGTTGTGGAACTGCACAGCGCAATCTGGTATAAGTGACCTCTAACTGGCGAGATCATCTCTCCTCAATAACTTGTCGGCTTCTTCACTTCTGTAGTATCTCTTAGCTTCGTATGTGCAGTTGAAATTTATTATTACCACACTTTTCGGACCAGTCAAAAGATTCGGTTCTTTAGGTAGCCCTCAGAAACTTTCGACACTGAACTGAGGCGAATACGTAGCGTTAGCATGACTGCACAGAAAGCTTGGTGCGGGCATTGCGATGAGTACGCTGTACCAGGGCAGCTGGATGAAACACAAAGCGGAGCCTGTTGCGTGGCATCGCCGCCAACGGGCAAGCGCGTCTCGGTGCAGTTGACAGTTTCGGCCGCTTTTTTGGGGAGGGTGCTGATGTTGCACCGGAAACCGTGGATGGCATTTGATGTTTAACCGTGGTTGCGGGAGCATTTGTGTGTGTCCGTGTGCTTTTCCATGTACTTTCTCGTTCTTACTTTGTGTGAAATCGAGTGCTGGGTGCTGCTTGCTTCATGTTTATTGTGATCGAGTACAATTCCGTGATGCGCGCGCGAGCGGCAGGTGGTTTTTCAGTGGTGTGACGCCCTGAAGCTGTTGCCTGCTGCTGAGTAGCTCGAACGCGAAAAAAGACGCTACATTGAAGCACAACGTATTCCCCAGTGATCTACAGTGTTAAGAAGCGTATCGGTATGCATATAATTTTTAACAGAGCACCTACCTTTGTCGCAAATGGGCGCTGAAGCAGACGCGTGCCGCTGCCTTACAACTCCCGCAAAACTCACTTATCTTACTACTCCATTTATTTGATCCTGCTTTTCGTAGCTTGCTCTATTTACCGTAGAGTGCTACTCTGTCCTAACATAACTGTCACATTGGCTAGACAGTCACATTGGCTAGACAGCTTTACAATGAAAAGCTGTACAGAAAAATCTCCCCATTGAACAAGCCCCCCAAGCAGCCTGCGAGGGCCGAATATAAACAGTCTCCTCTCACAAATCCCCAGATCGGGTCCTTACTGCACTGTCCAATAAAAAGGTCCCACAGCACACATGAGGCTCATTACACCGGCACCGCGCCTAACATATACACTGACACAAATCAAACACGTGTATGGTGCCGGCGATGCTGCCTCCTCCGGCGAATCTGGCTTCCAGCGAGCGGAGTGTAATGAGTCTGTGATCTCGGTGGTTGCGGGCCAGGCGTCTTCGAGGGCGAATGCCTGGACATCTGGTGCTGATTTGAGCGTCGTAGGCACATCAGTCAGCTACGCACAGCATGGTGGTCCGACATCCGGCTTCAGCAAAAACTTGGCATTGCGGCTTTTTATGGGGCACTAAGACGCCACGTGTCGCATCTCCGCGCCGACAACAAGGACAGCAGTAGTCCGTCGAGTAATTTCAGCCACGGGCTGGGTACATGAAAACAGCAGGGCGTTACGCACTTCTCCTTTTCTTTGAAAAATGATTCGGCAGCATTTCTACCAATCTGGCGGCCGCGGCAAAAGGGTGGCTGGCCAAACGCAACAGCTCGTCCAGCTGCGGGAAAATGGACCTGAGGGTGACCAGCCATACTTGGTGGCGAAGAGTTATTTTTTGATACCGTCCTCCGGGCCACTGCCAAAGACGCAACAAAGCATTCTTCACTCATTGGTGGGCATTTTCTCCCTGGAAATAAAAAGAAATACACACAACCACGGGCACAGGAGAGCGCCTTGTCCGCAGTGAGACACACCGTGT